TCAACAGGGGATAATCATATATTTTCAATATTTGAAAATCAGGTAGTTTTTTGGTTCAACTGTGAAGCCTAATTGAATTAATAAAGAGGAAGTCGCTCTTATTACATTGACCGCTTCCATACTTAAATCACCTCTAACTTGTCTGTCTGTACTTTGAACTGTTGAGCTGATAGTTTCAGGTTTCTTCAATAATTCATACGGATAATTTGATATTTGTTCTTCATAGATTAACACGCAAACCGCCTTAATTAGTATAATGACGCTTTCTTGTTTCCATGGTAATCAGGAAATGTCAGGCGTAGACTCAATAAGGGCAGTCTTAAATGTCATACGAAAAGACTGTATTGATTTCGTAAATAAATCTGCTTCTATAAAACCACGTGCACGTCTCCATGCTGCCAGTTTCTTAATAATTGATCTCAGCTGGAAGTGTGTTTGGTTCTGTATAAAACAAATAATAACCTGTGTTCTAATTAAAGGTTAGAGGATACTTGGAGGTGTTTATACCATATCTATAACTGGCTGTTATTTGGGTATCTTAAAATACCCCAGTTATTCCTTAAACTTAGGCACAGTTATCGTGGTTCGAATCTGATATATTTAGGAGGACACGTTGAAGATTAAGAGTGAGACTTGAATCAGTGATTGTTGCTTGAATCTGACTACGGTAGGATCACCAGATTTCGTGGTCAGAGCGGCAAGTTGAGACTGTTGACTACTATTCACACATTTCAGAGTCATAATGTGGATATAACCAACCTGATGAATAAAAAAATATGTACATGTATAACCACGGACATTCAACTTTAATAACATGATGGCATTACCTCTTAAAGACCATTGATTAACACTTAAGTTCAGAAACTTCATAAGTGTTGAATGTCCCCCGGTAAGTTTAGGGACTTATCTAAAATTCGTGGTTCGATTCCCCATAGTGAACGCAACAACAAACAGGTATGTCTTTTTTCTGATATTTTTTATCATTCTAGTATCATATTACCACTATTCCTTTTTTTTAGAGCAATACATATTTTTTTGGTTTTAATGTATAGCCCTGTATTCACCACTAACAACCTGAAATACGTCAAATGTTTGGATATATCTTCTCCATCATCAAAAATCACGTTTTGGTGAGGAAAATAAATTCATAAATAACCAATTAATCCACTGATTAATAATAGATAGTTAAATGTGACATGTCAAATGTTATCCAAACACCTAAAATATAAGATGTTATCAGTAGTGATTAAAGGACTATACATCTAAACAAACAAACTGCTTACATTCCACCACTATCTGAGGCATACTTTAGTTATTTCCTTCGCGCTTCCAAGTTGCACTAATGAGCTGTGAATTCAGTGAATCTAGTCTGCTGCAGCGGAAGTAGCTAATTAAAGAATAGTTTAGGCGTCGACGTCATCTTTTTTTAACTGAAGTTCACGTTTTGGTGAGTAAACCAAATTCACAAAAATATTCATATTTTTACCTTAAAAATTCACTGTTACTGCATTATTGAAACGTGTATTTTTGCAACAATAATATTTACTTACACATGATACGGTTTCTATTTGAATGCCTGTAAATCTCCTAAGCCTCGTAGCTGGAAGTTACTAGCAGCTACAACCATTGGTGTAAATGTAAAACCAAAACGTCGGAAATGATTAGAGATATTTTATCTGGAGTGAAAAGCCGTTTACTTACAAAATGTGTATAATATCCCAGTCCACGGTACGTACTCTGAAAGGAGAAAAACACTCAAATAGATACACAAAATATTTATTTTACAAATAATAGTCTCAACCACTTAAATAGTAGATAAGTACATGATGTTAATTATATTTTTTTCTTAACGTTTCGTTGTTGCGACTTCGTTTAATATAACACAGACACAGAAAATGAAAGTGGTACAAAATGGAACATTTCAAATTGTCCTATGACACTCAGTGGTCAGCTTGAGAGCTTATAACGCTAAAATTCCGGCTTCTATTCTTGCGGTGAGCACAGTGAATATATAGCCAATTGTGTAACTTTGCGTATAAACAAACAAATGATTAAAATAGTATAGGTTGTTTGTTACTTAAAACTCCTTCTTCAAAGAATGAATATTGATTAAACGTTCATCAACGATAATAAAAAAAATTAAAGCTTTTTTATAGTGGTTAAAAGGTTTCGTTGAAAAGGACTAACTGAGCGAAGCGTCATAAAGAAAAATTCATGCTATTCAAACCAAATTGTACATTTAATAGTTTCATTTTGAGCTTACTTGTATAAACTGTAAACTTATACACTTACACACATGTGTAAAAAGAAAAAATAACGTGCTGAAAATTCGTCTTGTGTTGTTCTCGAAAATTAGAATAATGCACAACTTGTATTAGTGTATTACAAGTTACAGCTTTTAAAGTAAGGATAATGTGTTTTCATAAAGGTACGACGTTTCGACCACTTACTTGATCACTGTACTTGAGAATAATCGCACCAGTGATCGAAACGTCGTACCTGCTCTAAAAACAGATCTTACTTACTCTAAAAGCTGTGCCTTGTGATAAAATAATACTTAATCGGTAATGATACATATTATTACAATTAATCAGTGGTTAAGAAGATGAAAAACGCCATTCTCACCAAGACGATTTATTTTCTGGTGCAGGGTTCTAAACACTGGTCTGTTTTATCTTGGCCGTTGATAGACATTCGTTCTTTGAAACGATTATTTGGATACGGTTTTCAACGAAGGCTCTGATTTGTTACTCTATTCGTGTTCTCAAAGAGGCACTCCCCAATGGCACATGGTATGTCTGCAGACCTACAACGCTAGAAACAGGGTTTCGATACCCGTGGTGGGCAGAGCACATATAGCCCATTGTGTAGCTTTGTTCTTAACTACAAACAAATAAGTAATGAGCTCATTCTTGATTTTCTTCAGTGTCCTAAAGTGAACTTATAAGCGTAATGAAACACTTTAGAAACTGATACAGGCCTATTTGAATGCGCGTCGCATGGTTACATATTTCAATGATCTCAGTAAACCTGACTGATGCACCCAATTCACTTCCGTCTATAAACACCCACGTCAAAAAGACAACACCAATTTCCCATTGTTCGTTTGTGTTCATCTCAATACGTCTGAGCATCTGTACAACATTAAATTAATGTTAATGTCTCTAAAGACGTATCCAGCGTCCACTATGTGCGTGGGTTCTAATTTAAGGAACATTTCTAGTATCTTATCGAGAACGATAATTAATTTATAATTATTTCTCATAGTAATGTTTTTATTCTTTCTAATGCGTTCCTTTTTTATCTTCAATGAAGTTATTTAATTTATTTTGAAACGTCCTTTGTATAAGCGCTGAGTTGATTAAACTTTGAGTAGGTTCAATTCAGTCTACGAAGGGAGGGGATATAAAAATATGTTCCCCAAACACGAAGTCAACCACTGGAAGACGTCACATGAAGAGAACAAATCCCAAAGTTCATATAGAATGAACGAGGGAGAAAATTACCACGCTTTCTAGTACTAGTGAAAGATGATAGAAAGAGGAATGAAAAGTGCGACATGATTCATTCGTATAATATGTTTATGTAAACTACAAGTTGCTTTGATGCTGACAATGAAAGTTTATTGATGGGCTGAGCCAAATCATTGAAAATATTGGGACCGTCTGACTAGCTTACATAAGCATATTTTATATCATGTGTTAATGAAAGATTATCTTAAGACATGAAAAGTTGATTCCCTTATATGTAATTGTAAAAAAACGCCCATAAAATCCGCAAAACACAAAATGTGAAACTGAAAATTTGTATAAATCTCACCATGGACCCAATACACCTCCGTACCAAATTTGGTGAAGATTCATATACTGGAGGTGAGGTAGTGATAAAAAAACGCCCATAAAAATCGCAAGACGCAATATGCAAAACTAAAAATTTGTATGTACCCCCGCATGTCTCTAATGAACCCCCGACACCAATTTTAGTGAAGGTCCATCCACACCCTGCGAAGTAGCTACATGTACATACGACATAAAACATACATTACTATAGTATTTATATAAATATACATCCACATAAATCGTATAGAGTTTAAGAAACAATAATACCAGTCTTAATTTAATACAAAATCTTTCGTTGATAAAAATTGTCTTTAGTAAAACATTCTAGAACATTTGAAGAAGAATGATCTGTTGACTGTGGGACATTACACCACCATAAGAAGAATGATCTGTTGACTGTGGGACATTACACCCCCATAAGAAGAATGATCTGTTGACTGTGGTACATTACACCACCATAAGAAGAATGATCTGTTGACTGTGGGACATTACACCCCCCATAAGAAGAATGATCTGTTGAATGTGGGACATTACACCCCCATAAGAAGAATGATCTGTTGACTGTGGGACATTACACCACCATAATTTGTGTCGCACTTTTTTTTTATTTGACACTATATTTTAACTGCATCTAGCCATTCCGATGAATTCTAGTATTAAGTGAAAGGTCTCGAAGGCAGTGAGTGGCGTTCAATGCTAATATACTATTCTTATTGTAAACTCGAATAGGGCCAACGAAGAAAGATGCGATAAGATTATTAGTAGTCTTATTGTGATACAATATCACACAAACAAACAATCGAACAACGATGTGAGAAAAACAAATACTACGCTCTGGTCTAACGTTCAAAATTTCTGAATCATTGTATTTTGTATTATAATTTTTTTTGCGTAATAGTACGGACGTCTTTCAAAAAGTTAGAAAGACAAAACATTGGAATTAAATAGAAATATTATATCGAATATCAAATTTAAGTCATTGTCACTATTATTTTAAAACTTTTGTAACAGTCTCCTCTTTGCGTTTTAACTTTTGAAAGCTAAAATCTTATTTTTGTTTGTGTTGGTAACCTACTTCGTTATATATGCTTCTTAGCGTTGTTACCAATAGATTTTTGTTTTGTATTTACACAAACTTTTTTTTTTCATATTTTATTGCAGAATCCCTTTCCAAGCTCTCATAACACTACCAAGGTAAATGTGGGGGTTACTTTCGGAGGCCATTTCCGCAAGGCGTCAACTCTAACTCCGGTAGTCTCCGAGAAGACTATCCGCCATGGGCTGAACCCACTTGACAAGTCAACCAGTCTTCCTAGCATTTCCATAAAAAAAATACAACACAACAAGTACAATAGATATAGAGACGACAATGGAGTAGAAAAGACCTGTAGAAATGATCAACTCATTCGTGTGACGCCATCTACAATCGCTTCATCACTCCCGGCGCTTAACAACGGTAGACATCACTTTTTGAACTACTCCAAAATGCCAAACACTAACACCGACCTTCTACTCAGTCGTCAACTGTACAATAACTACTGTGGAAGAAGTCAGGACCAAATTTCTCTGAAAAGTCGCTCACTAGATGAGAGCCCTGAACACAGCATAACAAAATCGAGATTTGATTTCTTAGAGGATCAGCACCACCATAAAGAATCTAATTCATGTTGCCACACTCGTCTTGATTATTATGGCAGAAAGCTACCTTTTAGTCCACAGGGTAATTACCTTTAAAGAACTATTACATGATAACCTGTAGCATGCAGTATAATCATATAAACTTGTAGGTAGTTCCTTCTATCCAATAAGACTATAACAACGTTTCTGACTAACCTCAACGTACCTGTTTTTTCATTACAGAAGTGTTAAAGTACTACTCTTCAAGGCTGTGTTCATTTGAGCGAGCGGAAATAAAGCAACGTCAGGAAGTGTGGTTTCTAGGCCTGGAAGCTAGTAAAATAGAAGGAGATGAAGGAGCATCACAAAATAGTGGTTACGATGATGAAAATGGCTCCTATCTTAAAGTAAGTTTAGTTTAAGAAGTCTCATTATCCATTTATAAATGCATAATTTATCAAAAATAAAGAAATAAAAAAGTTAAAAACGGCTTGTTACTAACCTAATCAGTCCCTGTAATTGAAAAATTGCTAAATCTTCACTTGTGTGTGTGTATTCTATTTTTTCAGCAGTATTACTACTGATTTTTGCTTTTTAGTCAAGGAATATACACACACACACATATATATATATATATATATACATTCGATTAGGCTTAAGGGCTTATAAAACCAGACCCGGCATAGCTAGGTGGCTAGGACGCTTGACTCGTAATGTGAGGGTCTCAGGTTTGAATTCCCGTCCCACCAAACATGCTCGCCCTTTCAGCTGTGGGGACGTTATAATGGTACTATCAATCCCATTATTCGTTGGTAAAACAGTAGCCCAAGAGTTGGCAGTGGGTGGTGATGATTAGCTGCCATCCCTCTAGTTATTCACTGCTAAATTAGGGACGGCTAGCGCAGATAGTCTCCGTGTAACTTTGCGCGAAATTCAAAACAAACCAAACCTTCAGCAAACAGAGCAGATAATCTATAATGTGGCTTTGCGCTAAAAACAAAATATTTTCGAAGTGGGTTTGTATATTTTAATTCACTAGTCTTGTAAACGAATTAACTTTAAAGCCATTCCTATTTAACGATTTTATTACAATAACTTTTTATATCCGTTTCTAACAGCTAATGTCATGTTTCTGTAACGTAAGAAAGTTATTGATTTTTTTCAATACGTTATGTATATATACATACATATGATAGTAGCTTTAGAGTACTTCTGTTTTCTTCCACCAGGTGCTTCACGATCACATTGCTTACCGTTACGAGATCTTAGAGGTGATTGGCAAAGGATCGTTTGGTGAGGTTATTCGCGCACTTGATCATAAAACAAATCAACAGGTGGCGCTGAAGATCATAAGAAATAAGAAAAGGTGGGTTAAAGACATATAATAACATAAATTATTATAAATATTATTTAACTTTGATTTGTTTGTAATTTAGTTAAGCACAAAGCTACACAATGGGCCTTCTGTGCTCTGCCTACCACGAGCATCGAAACCCGGTTTCTAGCGTTTTAAGTCCGCAGACATACCGTTATGCCACTGGGGGGGGGGGCAATATTTAAATTGTTCTGTATAAACAGTTTAATGTAAGTAAGAGTTCTATACTTCTACGTGTAGACCTATACTACAAAGTATCACTGAAATATTTTGTATCGTCCTAATCTTTGTTTACAAAGAAAAGGGAAAATACGTGTTTTGTTATTTTTGCCAGTACTGTCATTAAATTGCCAGATTGTACTTTCCCAGTTGAAATGTAATAAAAGCATCAATTCTTTCATTATAGCTTAAGCAAGGAGAAACTATCTTGAATTTCCTAAATAGTAAAAGCATCAATTCTTTCAGTATAACTTAAACAAGGAGAAACTATCTTGAATTTCCTAAATAGTAAAAGCATCAATTCTTTCAGTATAACTTAAGCAAGGAGAAACTATCTTGAATTTCCTAAATAGTAAAAGCATCAATTCTTTCAGTGTAACTTAAACAAGGAGAAACTATCTTGAATTTCCTAAATAGTAAAAGCATCAATTCTTTCAGTATAACTTAAACAAGGAGAAACTATCTTGAATTTCCTAAACTTTTTTCCACTTAAGATATAACAATAATTACAATTGCGGTCACATATGTTTGGTATCAATCAGTTCTCAACCCACAGTTTATTTCTATATGTCGTCAATAAGTGTTTCTATGTGTAGAACAATATCTACGTATATAAGTAGCTCAGTAGCCTTTCTATACTAGAGGAGGTCAAATCGTTCGTGTCACGATTTCAGAAATTTGTCTTGCTTTTGACATTTATAAGGGTAAGATATTTTTATCCACTTTTTAGAATTCTGTGAGCTGTAACACGGTTATTTATTTACTTGTCTGTTTTGTAGGTTCCACCAGCAAGCTCTGATTGAAGTCAGGATTTTAGCACACTTGTGCAGGAAAGACAGCAATGGCTACCACAATGTTATTCGTATGCTAGGCCATTTTTACTTTCGTAACCACTTATGTATAACTTTTGAACTCATGGGGTAAGTAAAGGTTTTGGGTTGCTGTTGCAATGCATCAGTGCCAAAGCAAGCATTCCTATAAACATCTGGTTACAATATAAAAATCTGGCTATTATTTAAACATAAATGTTCAAATTTGGCTACACCACGAACTTAGATACAATACAATATTAGTGCAATTCAATATATAATTGCAATACAAATATAACTACATTAGAAACATAAGTACGTTATAAATAATCTATCTTACAAACTTACATATGGAATAAATCTAATAATTAATGGTACTAAAGCCTTTTACAGTTCTCTAACTATCCAGGTAATACACTAGGTCTACTCAGAAACAGTGCAACTTTAATTAACAAATATACTTTAAAAGGGTTAATTTTCAAAGATTAAACACATGTTTATATAGATGTGTATAAATGTGAACATAGTTCAGTATGATTGACTTTTTCAGGATGAATCTGTATGATCTAATAAAGCAGAACAACTACCAAGGCTTGAGCTTAGAACTCATTCGAAAGTTTAGCTACTCGATTGTACAGTGTCTGCGGTTGTTGTACAGGGAAAATATCATCCACTGTGATTTAAAACCTGTATGTATCTTCATTCGTTTATTTTGGTGTTTTATAACAAAATTGGTGTCTCTTATGGTTGAACGGACACGTAATTATAGCTTTAAGATATTGTAAGATACTGTCTACTAGATTGATTTAATCATGTATTTTGTTACGAACCGCGTTTGTATGCATGAACAGCTGTTATGGTACTAGTGGTAAACTATATATACATTCACAGAATGTCACTGTGAGTACTCATAGATCATATACAAGTGCTCAAAGCAGAAAATCTCAATGGGACTTGTTTATACTGCATAAACATTAACAGGATGTCACTGTGAGTAGTTATGAACTATACAGAAGTATAAAAAGCACAAAACCCTAATTGGACTTGTTTAAACTATATAAACATTAACAGGATGTCACTGTGAGTAGTTATGAACTATACAGAAGTGTAAAAAGCACAAAACCCTAATTGGACTTGTTTAAACTATATAAACATTAACAGGATGTCACTGTGAGTAGTTATAAACCATACAGGAGTGTTAAAAGCACAAAACCCTAATGAGACTTGTTTAACCTATATAAACATTAACAGGATGTCACTGTGAGTAGTTATAAAGCATACAGGAGTGTTAAAAGCACAAAACCCCTATTGGGACTAGTGGTAACCTACATGTACATTCGTAAGATAGTACTGAGTATAGTTATATGAAATACACAAGTCCATTAACTCTGGAACAACTACTGTAGTGTGTGTGTGTGGGGGGGGGGGGGGGTGCTGAAGACTATTGAAAAAAATCAAAACCCCTGTATATGATAAGAATCACGTCAAACTAGGAAGGCGCTACTGCACCCTCTCCACCTATAGTATCCACACCTTTTCACAAATGTTAAACACACAAAACCCTAGTGCTAAACCACATAGGCATTCACAGTTTCTTACGTTATAAACTGCTTGTATAGAGAGTTGTTCATACATAGGTGGTTTGGTATTATTATACAAGGTGTAACAGTATAAAATCTCAAACTAAGTAAACGAGTTTGAATACTTACCTATAAAATGTGTTTTGAGTTTTATTATTTGTGAACATATATTCATATAGAAATGTAATTCTAGGATTGTCTTTTATTCCTTTTTTATACCAACTCTCATCCTTTTTTTATATAGGAAAATATTCTCATTAAGCAACGAGAAACCAATTCTATCAAAGTTATTGATTTTGGTAGTTCTTGCTTTGCCCACCAGAGGGTTTACACTTATATCCAGTCAAGATTTTACAGATCTCCAGAAGTAGGTTTTTTTATATTTGTTTTATTCAGTTGAATTAGAAATAAAAATAAAAATGCAAAAATATAATCAGATTTCAATGTTGTATGTATATTGATTACTAAAATCAATTACTTTATATAATTATTAACGTAAGTTCGTGATCATTAGGGCACGTGCAAAAACTAAAACATATATTGTAGTTATCATGACGTAAATAAAACCTCCGTACATACTAATGTTATTTTACTGAATCACGTAGTAAACGATTATATTTATAATACTTATATTAGTTAGCCCCTGTGAATAATGAGGTATCTACTGAAGAGAGAGAGAGAGAAGACTAAAAGACTTAAAAATATTAATTTAAAAAATTCAACCTTCCATTTCATCTCATTTCATTATATATATATATATATCATTAATCATCTAAATTTCTGTTCACTCACAACTTTTTAACACTCTGAGCTCTGATATTGTATCAAATGATCAAATGATTAATGAAAGAAAAACGTAAGGAAGAATGTGTTGTGTTTAGAGATGACTTTTACCTACATAGTGATTCTATATCTAAATAACAATTTCAAGATTATGCAGCACTGATTCTGTTAATTTATTTAATGATTGATTTGTAATGTATTTGATACATTAGGTATCTGAGTTTTGTTATCTTGGTTTGCACCAGGTTATTCTTGGGCTTCCATACGGAACCGCTATTGACATGTGGAGCCTAGGTTCTATTCTGGCAGAACTTTACACCGGATTTCCATTATTCCCAGGTGAAAATGAAGCTGATCAGTTGGCTTGCATCATGGAGATAATTGGACCACCTCCAGCTGAACTGCTTGAAATGGCATCTCGTCGGAGGCTATTTTTTGGTAAAGATAAAAAGAAAAGTAAAAACAAATTTTAAGATATTTATCGTTAAAATATGTCAGAAAATAGCATGCTTTATGTATTTTACAGGTTGTGACGTGTAAGAATTTACTGGTAATAAATCGTTCACATGCGTTGTTATGTCTATGAACTGAACATGCTTAGTGGTGGCTCAGCTGTAAACTCGAGAGCTTGTAACACTAAAATTAAAGATTCGATCCCTGCAGTGGGCACAGCACAGAAAGCCCACTGCACAGCTTTAAGATTAGTAACAAACCAACCAAAAAGGAACATCCAAATTTTATATACATTACATGTACAGCAAAATTTCATGCACTTTAAAAAGAGCTTAGATATTTATACTATGTTTGCATCAGTAATTGAAAATAGTCTTATTGATTTCTTCAATATTTTAGACAGTACAAGCTGTTGAGTTATTCAAAGTTTAACTTTTCTACTTTCAGACTCCAAAGGTTACCCGAGAAATCTCGTGAACAGTAAAGGCTTGAAAAGAAAACCATCTTCAAAAACCTTGGAGTCTGTATTAACGTGTGCCCAAGATCGATTTGTGGACTTTCTTAGCAAATGTCTTGAGTACGATCTGTTAGTTTTGGATTTTTTAAAGACTGTGCTTGTATACCTGATGCTTAGCAAATGTCTTGAGTACGATCTGTTAGTTTTGGATTTTTTAAAGACTTTGCTTGTATACTTAATGCTTAGCAAATGTTTTGAGTACCATCTGTTAGTTTTGGATTTTTTTCAAGACTGTGCTTATATACCTAATGCTTAGTAAATGTTTTAAGTACGATCTGTTAGTTTTGGATTTTTTTTAAAAGACTGTGCTTATATACCTAATGCTTAGCAAATGTTTTAAGTACGATCTGTTATTTTTGGATTTTTTTTAAAAGGTTGTGCTTATATAACTAATGTGCAGCAATTAGTGTCGTATTGTTTTGTACACTTGTTGTTAATGTGTCAGATGCAAAGGGCTAGTTACTTGTGATGGTTGTTATGTAACTATTGTGAACAATTTGATGTTTATTCCCTATAGATGGGACCCTGACCTTCGAATGACTCCCGATGAAGCACTTAGACACACTTGGTTATCAGGAACTAAAGATGGCCGATGTACTTCTAAGCCAGTTCATTCTCTGACAGTTAGTGAAACAGAAACAGGTATTTTTACTTCAGTTCATTCTCTGACAGTTAGTGAAATAAAAACAGGTGTTTTTTACTTCAGTTCATCCTCTGACAGTTAGTGAAATAGAAATAGATATTTTTTACTTCAGTTCATTCTCTGACAGTTAGTGGAATAGAAACAGGTATTTTTACTTCAGTTCATCCTCTGACAGTTAGTGGAATAGAAACAGGTATTTTTACTTCAGTTCATCCTCTGACAGTTAGTGGAATAGAAACAGGTCTTTTTTACTTCAGTTTATTCTCTGACAGTTAGTGAAATAGAAATAGATATTTTTTACTTCAGTTTATTCTCTGACAGTTAGTGAAATAGAAACAGGTATTTTTTACTTCAGTTCATCCTCTGACAGTTAGTGAAATAGAAATAGATATTTTTTTACTTCAGTTCCTCTCTAAAGTAAAAAACCAGTAATGTTCAAACTCATTTCAGTCCCCATTTATTAAGTATCATCATGTTGTGTATTCTATGTTTAAACTTGTATTCAAGTGAAATAATGGTCGCTCCTTTGACGACTTTTGGTGCTATGTCACGAGATGTCAGATCTTCTTTAGTAGTGGATAATAAAATGGATATTTTCGTACATCTATTTACGATATCTTTATTCATCAAAATTCACAAAACTAGCGATAAGGATGAGATCCCTTAGAGGATTCCAACTCCTATACAAAAGCGAACTGAGTATCATTTCATTACGAATGTCATTGAGCGGACTGAGTATCATTTCATTACGAATGTCATTGAGCGGACTGAGTATCATTTCATTACGAATATCATTGAGCGGACTGAGTATCATTTCATTACGAATGTCATTGAGCGAACTGAGTATCCTTTCATTACGAATGTCATTGAGCGAACTGAGTATCCTTTCATTACGAATGTCATTGAGCGGACTGAGTATCATTTCATTACGAATGTCATTGAGCGGACTGAGTATCATTTCATTACGAATGTCATTGAGCGGACTGAGTATCATTTCATTACGAATGTCATTGAATATGTCGAAGAGACTGTCTTCAACTGGGAGTTGAATCTATTCGCTTCTGAGAAATCTGGCTGTTTCGGACTTAACTAAAAATAAATCATTTACCGACTTTTGCGGCCTGCTCCAACAACATTTCTATTCAAATTATTTAGAGGTTGCTTAGAGGTACCTTCTTTACAGATGGGACCAGTATATAGAAAGAAAGACAGTGCAAGCTTACATTGCTTAACTCAAAATGTTGTCAGAACACTGCAATTTCGGAGACACTTTTCCACTGGCCTTATATTTAAGATGCGAAATAAGACGTACAAAAATGTTTGTTGTCTGAAGCTACATTTAATAAAAAATAAAATAACAGGATATACAACGACAATGAAAATAGTAGGTAAGGACGCCATCTGGATGTTAGTTCATTTCTGGTCAATATAACTTCTAAAATGATGCCAAGAGATGACAGAAATGTTGCATCATCAGCCACCTTAATATTACCTCTTCATACCAACGCTTCGGTTGCGACAGTGACAATTATTTATGTTTTGAGCAAAGAGTCAGAAATATCACTTACAATAAATCTGAAAAAAAGGCCACATCAAACTTGTGTTGAGAATGCACTGATGCCCCCTTCAAACGAAACGTACTATTCAACCAATAGGAAGACTATGTAAGGTAAATAGCAGTCCATCAAATCCATATGCCATACCTTGCAGGGACTTGGTCCAGAGCAGCACATATGCAGTTTTAATAACCTAATATGGACGTAAAATGTGTGCAAATGGACTAAATACTGAAGTTGTGGCTTCAATGAGTGATACTCCTGAAGCTTTACAATGAGAAATTCGATCATCTGAAGATGGAATGTTTGTGACTTTTCACAGGGGAAAGATTTAAGTCAGATATGTTATGTTTATGGCCAGGGTGGAAGCTCTACGTCTATGACGTTGACTATTTATCCTATTAAAAAAAAAGAGTCTGATTGAAGAAATTCCAAACCAACTGAAGCTCCACAATGTACACCTTGTGAGAGACTGCTAAGGCGTAATTCAGTACTTAATAGCATAGCTTTCAAAAATTCTGGGAATTTTCTGGTTCTGATTCGGGCACTTTGGAGGAAATAAAAGCCATATTATACACCCAGATTAATGTTCTATTAATACATCGCAAACTTGCCCTGTTTCCTCTGCAATCGATCCAAATATGAAACTAGAGTTAAATAAATTCGTGAAAATGAGTGTTTTCTACGTTGAATAAATACAAAACTTAACTGTCACACAGCAACATATCAGTAAAGAAACAAAAAATACTTACCACAATCGGAATATGTATTCTAAATGGTTGGCTTTCAACTGTAAGTCACACAAAGTACAAACCGTATTGTGACAAAAGACAGGAAACAACATTACATGAAGTTCATATCATATATGGCGTGTGAGATTAGTTATCTCTTCATCACTCCACCGGCCCGCATGGCCAGATGGTTAGGGCGCTCGACTCACAATCTGCGGGTCGCGGGTTCGAATCCCCGTCCCACCAAACATGCTCGTCCTTTCAGCCATGGGCGCGTTATAATGTGACGGTCAATCCCACTATTCGTTGGTAAAAGAGTAGCCCAAGAGTTGGCGGTGGGTGGTGATGACTAGCTGCCTTCCTTCTAGTCTTACACTGCTAAATTAGAAACGGCTAGCGCAGATAGCCCTCGTGTAGCTTTGCGCGAAATTCATAACAAACAAACAAACAATCACACTACCGTTCAGTGCCACGGGGGTTATATGAAACAAATGACAAACGGTTACATAATAAGCTCGCAGATTTACTGCTGACCCACCGGGGGGAGTCGAGAGGAGTCAATTCTGATGGTCCGTGAAAGTAAAGCAATGTTTGAACTTAGGCTAATTCTTCAATGATAGTGAAACAGAAATATGTCGTTCAAAGTCAGCCTACACCTAAGTAAACTGTGTTATAGGAATATGTGATATTCAAACTTTTTTTGCCGTCTGTTATTTTGTGAAGTAAGAGTAAGTACTGCTTAAACTTAGTTTAGACTGTCAGAAAATAATGTAGGTTTGGATATGCTGGTCTAGACCTTGATAGTCCGTGAAAGAAACGTTTACACTGTTCAGTCAGCCACTTACTCCTGATAGTCCGTGAAAGAAGAGTTTACACTGTTCATTCAGCCACTTACTCCGGATAGTCCGTGAAAGAAGAGTTTACACTCTTCATTCAGCCACTTACTCCGGATAGTCCGTGAAAGAAGAGTTTACACTGTTCAGTCAGCCACCTACCCCTGATAGTCCGTAGAAAAAAAACGTTTACACTGTTCAGTCAGCCACCTACTCCTGATAGTCTGTGAAAGAGGAATTTACACTGTTCAGTCAGCCACATACTCCTGATAGTCTGTAAAAGAGGAGTTTACATTGTTCATTCAGCCACATACTCCTGATAGTCTGTAAAAGAGGAGTTTATACTGTTCAGTCAGCCACCTACTCCTGATAGTCTGTGGAATAAAAACAAATAATGACGAGAAACCAGCCCATATTATACAGTTTTATAAAACCAAAGTAAATAATAAATCAAACCTTTGTTTGTGCATAAAGGATGTAATACTTATATTTCGCTGAACTGTGTCACACATCTTAGCTTACTTGTTTGTTGCTGAGCACAAAGTTACACAATGGGCTATGTGTGCTCTGTTTACCGTGGGTGTCGAAACCTAATTTTTATCGTTACGAGCCCTCAGACTTTCCGTTGAGCTGTATGTTACATGGAAAGACGTGTTTGTAAAACATTTGTCTTCTTCAAACTTGATTTTATTCTGAATGAACAATCAGCTCAGTTTGGATGCTAATATTCCACCAGATAGCCAACGTTATGTTATTCATTTGCTGTTAAGCGCATAACTGCACAATGGGCATTGAAACTCGGTTTTTAGCGTAATAAACGCTCAGACATACTGCTGAGCCACCTGAGTTCATTTGTTCTAGTTACCTAGGATCCTTTGATAGTATAGAAGGAGATTTTGGGGATCAAGAAGATCCCCTGGAAAGAATTTGGAATGTTTTTGCCACCAATATTGTGAAAGAAACCCTGAGAAGTGACACATTCCTGTAAATGTGTTCCAAATTATGTGGCTAAGTTTACTTAGGTGTGTTTCAGGGCTATGGTTTAGTTTGTTTTGAATTTCGCGCAGAGCTATACGAGGGCTATCTGCGCTAGCCGTCCCTAAATTAGCAGTGAAAGTCTATAGGGAAAACAAATGGTCATCACCACCCACCGCCAACTCTTGGGCTACTCTTTTTCCAACAAATAGTGGGACTGACCGTCACATTTTAACGCCCCCACTGCTGAGAGGCGAGCATGTTTGTGGGACGGGGATTCGAACCCGCGACCCTCAGATTGCGAATCAAGCGCCCTATGTTTGTTTGAGTCTTTAAGCATTCATAAAAAAAATATATACATTTTGTTATTAATAACAATATATTATCTTATGGGAACCGGTTTTTAATTAATATGAATGATGAATGTTTTACAAAATTATTTTAATTGCTTAAATATGCTATGCCACTCAGAGAGAACATTTTCATCGTTGCTTTAGAACATCCGACAACGATCCACAGGGCCTACAAGGGAGTGAAAGCTCATCAAAAGAAGAAAGACTCTCGTTCCTTCAGCAAAGCTGTCTCAGAAGAATCGTGTGAGTTAGATAGGATTTTACACTTACATGTAGTGTAACTTACATAGCGTTTCGTAAACATACATATTGTTCGTTTAGTTGTTTTTTTACACATACACAATGGGTAGGTTAGATACAATTTTCCTGTTACACACTCTTAACACTACTTATAATGTTATAGCTCCCTGTGGTATAATTTCGTAAGATTTTAAAGTTGTGCTATAGTGAAATATACCTAATATTATAACATTATACACAAGAATATATATATATATATATTTATATAGAATATTATGTTCAACATGGTGCTGAAAGAATTTTATAGATTCACATAGTTTTAGTTATACAGTATAGTACAATTACATATAAAGTTAGTAACACATGTTTTTTACAGTTCTCGGAGGATAAGACTTTACATGGTTTGTTTGTTTTGAACTTCGCGCAAAGCTATGCGAGGGTTATCTGCGCTAGCTGTCCCTAATTTAGGAGTGAAAGACTAGAGAGAAGGAGGCTGGTCATCACCACCTACTGCCAACTCTTGGGCTACTCTTTTACCAACAAATAGTGGGATTGACCGTCACATTATAACACCACCACAGCAGAAAGGGCGAGCATGTTTGCTGGGATGGGGATTCGAACCCGCGACTCCCAGACTGCGAGTCGAGCGCTCTAGCCACCTGGCCATACCGGGCGACATTACATGGATACACGCTGTTGGTTACCTAGTATTTTACAGTTACATTACTGAATTACTAAATTTGAACAGTGGGAAAATTTAAATGAAGCCCGACATATTTTAACAGCGTTGTAGACAGTCATTATTTCGTTATTTTTCATATAACTTAATATCTATAACAAGGTTAATTTTGACCTGAAAGTTTAGTAGAGATGTGAGTGTGTGAATGAAATTATGATTAATTTCAGGTTGGGGACGTATATATGTATTTTAAATATGCTCTTTATTTCCAAGAATGTACTTTACATACCAATCAGTAACGCAGTTACTCATCATTTCGTATTACGAACCATGGTTAGGTGTTTAGAGCACTTGACTCCTTGTGTTCGTGTATAGCTAAGTTTGTTATTTATTCTGCTCTTAGTAAGGTTCTATCATATGGTGTTGGGGTTCATTTTGTAAATATTTTTAAAGCTCAGCTTAAAGCTAAAATTTATTTCGATTTTTTTTACGGTTTCGGTTTCGAGACAAATTGTCAGATTTTTTAGTATTTATCGCGACTCTGGGCATTTGGTAAGTGAAGGTGTTCAGGGTTACATCCTATGTCGTGATTTGGTATGATAATTTGGTTTGATTTTTCATGTTTATCATTTTTGTTTGTTTGTGATTACTAATTTTCTGTGTATTTCATTTAAGTAATCAACCTTACCAATTTTTTTCTTCTTATCCAAATTTGTATCGACATGGTCATGCGTTATGTCGAATAACTAATGTATTTTTGTTTATACCCCCTCTATGAGGGTGGATTAATAAAGAAAAAAAAAAGAACACTTGACTCGCAATCTGAGGGGTGTGGGTTCGAATCCCCGTCCTACCAAACATGTTCGATCTTTCAGCCGTGGGGGCGTTATAATATTACGGTCAATCTCACTATTCGTTGGTAAAAGAGTAGCACAAGAGTTGCCTTCTCTCTAGTTTTTCACTGCTAAATTAGGGACGGATAGCCTTGTGTAGCTATGCGCAAAATTAAAAACAAACCGTATTACGAACATCAGAATCAGTTGTTCAATGAATCATTGTATCATGATTGTCTATCTGACACATTTGCATTTCTGCAAACTACATAAAGAGTTATCCAGTTCATAAGATACATTGTCGTTGAAATAACTCATAGAGTTTGAAAACAGTATAATATACTTCAAGTTATATCAATAGTAATAGGTTTGACTATACCCGTATTTAAAACAATTTTTATTTTTTATTAAGTAATGGTTTTGTTCCCTCTTGTTCCAGTGATCCTAGGATCTTTTGACATTACAGACACAGCTTTTGGGGATCTAGAAGATCCCCTGGAAGATTCTGGAATGTTTTTGCCACCAATATTGTGAAAGAAACCCTGAGGAGTGACACATTCCCGTAAACATGCTGCCAAAGAATTTTAAAACAACATATCAACATTCCGTGGAGCAGCTGATCAATTTATGTTTGGTATGTTTAGCTGTGTCATCCTTCATAGCATAGTTTGTATGTAGAAGTTTTCAGTGAGCTAGATGCAGTGAAACTTGACATAACTGTTGGTTCAATATGTTCCTCGCCTATGGCTTGTTGCAACATCACCAGTCAGCCATGTTCTCACGTGTGGCTTGTTTTAACGTCACCAGTGAGCCATGTTCTTACGTATGGCTTGTTGCAACATCACCAGTGAACCATATTCTAACGTGTGGCTTGTTGTAACATCCCCATTGAGCCATGTTATCACGTGTGATTTATTGTAACGTCATCAGTGAGCCACGTTCTCACATGGATGGCTTTTTGTAACATCACAAGTGAACCATTTTCTCACGTATGGCTTGTTTTAACATCACCAGTGAGCCATGTTCTCACGTGTGGCTTGTTGTAACATCACCAGTGAACCATGTTCTCATAATGTGGCTTGTTGTAGCATCACCAGTGGGCCATGTTCCCATATGTGGCTTGTTGTAACATCACCAGTGAACCATGTCCTCTTGGATGGCTTGTCGTAACATCACCAGTGAACCATGTTCTCATGTGTGACTTGTAACATTAGGAGAGATACGCGTTTCTGTTTGTCACTTGTTCTAATATCAGAAGAGAAATATCCTTCAGCTGTAGTGGATTATGTTCTCAGATATAAACGTTACCTTGCCTTACTATGTTTCTAGCTGTACTTTCAGAGATTAATCACGTCTTCTTGTGTGACTTGTTCTAATATTAGATGTGAAATTCGCTTTCATGTGTAACTTCTGGTTTCAGTAACTGATCTTGTCATAATGTGTGGCTTATATCGCTATCAAGAATGAAGCAAGGTCACTCACACAGTGACGCTGTTCTATAAAATGCTGTCAGGGTAACTCATCAATTTATTGTACTGAATCCTAGAAATTATTTTAAGTCACATGGTGTACAAACGAAATTGACTTGGCTACAAAGAATACATGAAAAACAACAGATGACAGTGAAAAAGGAATAAAAAGTATGTGAGTGAAAAACATAAACGAATATGTTTTTGGGCAACTCTTAAAATATTGATCTGGATTTATACATCTTGACAACGATCGACAGAACGTCAGCTGACGTCAGCAGTGCTTTAAACGTCACGTGATATCAAACTGTGAAATTATGTTATTAGTAGTGCATTGTAATGAGGTGATAATAATATCAGTGATCCGGAGTTAAAGTGGTATTTTTATTCATGTGTCAGATTTAGATGGATAAAACTAAAGATAACGTGATGACGATGTTTAGATTCTCTAATTTGAATAATTTTACGGGAATTCTCCTGGACATATCAATGAACTTCAGGGTAAACGGGTTTTCCTGAAGATGTATCAGGTAGAGATGGGTATAGCTACGGATAGTTTTATGAGCAATTTTAATAAATCATATTCTACAGACATTTGATACAAAATATTTGATCATGTCTGTGACTACAGGTTAAGCCTGTGATGTCAGATGTAGATAGTGCATCTTATTTTAAATGTTTTACATAGTAAGGAATTTCAGGTGTTAATGAGAATCTTTTAATGATCCAACAGAAGAACAGGGTGCAAAGTGACTCTCGTAGTGCAGACACGAGTCACGAAATAAACTATTTAATACACCTAACGAACACTAGTGAATAACTCGGAGATCATGTCTACACCACTTCATGGTGTTGTGAATAACTCTTGCTATATACTTGTAGTTCTATTAGTTAAATTATGAGTAAGTCAACCTTGTAAATATACGACATATATCACGCTTTTCTTTAAGGTTATGTGCATTAAAATGTTTCGTACTTTGTGGTAAATGGTGTTACACTGGTAAAGTATCCAGATTGGATTTTTGTTTCCAGTAGATGGCACCACTTTACAAATGATTTAGTTTGTACATTGCCCTGCCAAAAGTATCCCAACATGTGGAAATATAGAAGAGAGGAGGGTATGGGTTCTAGGTTATAATTTTTTCTAATTAGTATAGCATGTCCATAGCTTGAGTACCTGGTGTTATTAGAGAAATATTACCTCAAATTGATTCCGACAGGTATCTGATGGATTTTGTCGTTATTGCTATTTTTAAAGCTTGTTGACAACTGGAATATTATGGTTTAAGCATTCAAGTTAACCCTTCCTCTACAGGTGGATCCAAGCATTATCACAGATGTAGGATTTTTTTACGTTGTATTGGTCACTCCCAGACGTTGACTTTGAAATCGAGCATGAGAAGTATAATCTTGATAGAACAAAACATTGACCTGCTGACCAAAAACTTCTGCCATGGATCAAGAAACACATTCATTCAGATCTATTTAGACTTTACAGATAGGCTCCACATCCAATGCAGAGAATGCAGCTTACAACATATAACTTCATCACATTTTTTCAGAGTTGACACAACACAATCATGATCGAATTGTTCACAGACCTATATTTGGCTATCACTTCAAATGTGGGTGAAGCAGCTTTTGTCATTCCCATATATAGACTGGTTTCACACACATGATGTGCAGCAGCCTTTGGAGCCTCATGACGTATTGAATTTAACCTCAAACAAGATATTTAACCTTAAACAACATATGCCGATTTAATTATAAAGAGGAAAACAAATCAGTAAATTAAGTTGTTGTTTTTTCGAAGGTTTGTTACAAAATGATTGTTTGTGATATATTTACAACTAGAAATAGTCAGTGAGTTGAGAGCTAATATTAGATTTGTCAATCACTTCAAATCCTCAAACGTTAAATCATGTTTGTGTCTACGGTAAATCAAAATTATCATTCTCCCAATCATGTTTATGTCTACAGTAATTCAAATTTAATATTCTCCCAATCATGTTTGTGTCTACGGTAAATCAAAATTATCATTCTCCCAATCATGTTTATGTCTACAGTAATTCAAATTTAATATTCTCCCAATCATGTTTGTGTCTACGGTAAATCAAAATTATCATTCTCCCAATCATGTTTGTGTCTACGGTAATTCAAAATTAACATTCTCCCGTTTCTTATACACGTTTGTCAGGCCGAAAACTAAACGATAAATATGTATAATGGCTGGAGACGGCTTAAATGGGTAATGAAGAAAAACAAAACCTTGTCGAAACGTTGTACATTTGCTGTCATGTTAAACTTGTATTAAATGTCATCATCAGGTCAAGCCGTCTCCAGCCATTATTAGTCTCAAAGTGGGTTCCTCGTCATCGAAGATAAATATGTATGTATGTAGCTTACACTGGCATACCTGAAATACTTTCTTTGTGAAATCAATTCTCGCTTTCTTTTGTTTATTTCTTTGTTGTGAAGCACAAAATTGCATAATGTGTTATTTCTGCTCTGCGCATTGTGAGTATCAAAACCAAATTTTTAACGTTATAAACTCTCAGACTTACCACTCAATCACCGTGGGGAAGGGGCCTAGTCTCGTTGTTTAAGTTATCAGGAAACCACATATCAAAGGTTTGTTTGTCCGAAGTCCAACAGCAAAAAATAAAAATCCCACGTGTTATAGCATAAAAAAATCGTCACGGACGATTCGGGTGTCGTTGCTCAATTCTAAATAGTAGTATGCCTTATCCCGCCGCTTCTGATGGACCAGTATACTCCATAACAGCAACATCAGCCCTGCAGCACAGTCATCACAAAGTATAGTTATAGTTATTAAATGTAGTTCCGACTTATTGCTGTAGTTGTACTGTTTACCAACAGTTAGATGTTCTGTACTGGCACAGGTCATTCTTTGGAACATTGACTTTGTTATACGCCGGTTGTAGTGTTTCTGGCCACCTGTGGATACAAGTTCCTATAATATATAACTTTTCATGTTAAGCTGAAACTATGGACGTGGTTAAGCGAGTGTATTAGCTGATACTAAAAGTTTACACCCATGGTAGCACGTGACTTTCTGAAACTCAAAACCTTTTCTATTTTTCTACGTAATCGAAGCTCATCTTAGAAGTTACAAAATAATATATTTTTTCCTTGAATATGTATGTGTATATCTGAAAAAAAGTATGGCTTACTAATACCGGATTGTCAAATAAAAGTGTTATGGTAAGAACCTTTAAGCAGGTATTTTTTTTTTGTAGAAGAAAATGTTAATAAAATTTGATATGTATGTATTTGCATAATAAGAATGTTAACAACATTTCAATTAAAATCAATGCTTTTTTCTTGTAATATGATGCTCTGAATTCATGCTGTGTTGCGTTTCAACAACAATACACACGTTGATGTTAATTTTCAACAATTGTAAGATGAATCCTGTCTCTACAATGCTAACGCGTTGCGTAGTGTTATTCTTGTTAAAACGTAAAAGAATAGCTCATTGACCACGACATGTTTTATAAGTTTGTTGCAACTGCTGTTAAATACGATCTGATAGTTCGATTATATTGCACTCTCAGCTCCATGATGAACAAGACAACTAGTTTGAGCCTTACGCTATTTAAAACAAGTGCAGAAAAAAGTTTCGATTTTTCGATGACAGTTGTTTAATCCTTTAAAATAACAGTCGGGTATGTTAACTTAAAAAGTATAGTCTTTGCCGCCCCCCCCCCTCACTGGACAGTTTCGTTAAATGATCTATCTTGGTGGTTCTCAGGTTCTGTTACGTCTATGACCAAGGTAAGAAGAATTGGAAAATAATCAAATATATGCTTACTTAAGTTTAAATTACTGCTTGTTTATTAAATAAATAATCGGGTTAAGTAGCACTGGCAGAGGAGAAAAAATTTAATTCGTGGTTTATTACGTTATCTAAATTCTATATATGAATACGATACTGATTTTCATAGTTTAAGGATTTGTTTGAACAAAAAACTTTGGCGTTATTTCAGTTGGTAGACGAGATCTCTTTAAAAACAAACCTACACATTAAACTATAAAAAGATGAACGAGTCTCTGAAAGTATTCTGT